TACTAACGTAATAGAAAGTCAAGGCTCCATCCTACTCGTTGCCCAGAGCCTTGACTTGAGCATTGTACAAGCGCTTAAGGCTCCTTCGGGCCATGGCCACAACTATTATATAAGGCAAGGCTTGGAAGCAAGCTACCAGCGCTTATCGGCGAGAACTAGGCTTGGCTTGGTTAGTAGTGCCCGCCCATTTTGTCTCGCCCGCCTTAGGCCCATGAATTCTTCAGAGCGGGGCGGCGGGGGCCTATCTATCTAAAGGAGGTACGGACCCCTCCCGGTACGATGCAGTTGAAAATCGTTTTCTTGCTTTTCTTTGTTGAACCTTCTACGGTCTACCTTCTTTCTCGATATCCCAATTCTAGCGTTCGTTAGCAGAAGTAGAGATAGGGGGAGATAGGATTTATTATAACATTTATGTGAAAATAACAGAAGCCGCTAGTTGGGGAAGAAGCAAATCCTGCACCTTCACCTGCGAAACTCAATTCATTTTATAAATTAAATTATTTAAGTTTGAATTTGAATTAATGATCAAATTAAATTTAAATTTATAACAAAAAAAATGTGAAGACATTGTTGTGGCAATAACACAGCCAAACCTATAGTTATAGTTTCAATAGTTAGATAAATGTCACAGGTTTATTGTGTTACAGTTGGCAAATCTGCCGTGCTAAACTTGAAAACATAAATAATTAGAATTATTAACTTTAGAAAAAATATTTTTGAATTTTGTAAGTCGTAAAATTATCTAATTTTATAGCTTAGAAATTAAAAAAATATATAATTGCTAGGATTTTATCATAAAATGTAAGACACCTTGTCAATTAAAATATTATTATGTTGATAATTTAAAAAAAAAATTATAATGTTGATGATAAAACTTTAACGTATTTTATTAATTAATTAAATTTTTAATATTCTTATTATGACATTTATCAATGATAGATAGAATTTAAAAAAATTTATCGTCAATGTAAGTCAATTTTTATTATTATTAATTTTAAACGTAAGTCATTTTCTTTTTCTTTTTTTTTTTCTTACCCTTTTTGCCCTCAACAATCCTGTGATGTCAGGCCCACTATTTCATTAATATTTTATTCAAAAATTAATCAAAATAAAAATATGACAATAAAATTCAAAATAATTGAAGTAAATGATATTATGGTGTCCAATTTGATATTTATTTCTTTTAATAACAAAATAATACAATTAAAATTTAATCAAAAGATTTTTACAAAATTTTCACTTATCTTTTCATGTTACATTTATGATATATATATATATATGTAAAAGTATATACTTATTTATATATATATAATTATTAAATAAATTATCAAAATTTTATCAACAAAATTAAAAGATTGATATACATTTATAGATATAATTATAAATTAATTTATAAATTAATAAATTATTATAATAAAAGAGAATTATGATAATAACTTAATCTAATTTATAAATTCAAAAACTCTGCCGATTATATATAAAATAATAATCTTCATATATATTGCCCTAAACATGTAATATATAAAAGAATTAAAAAAAGGCTAACAGTGCATTTTGATGGAAATTTTTAAAATTTTAAAAAAAATTTGAAATGAAAGCCTTTTAAAGTGTATTCTTTCAAAATATTAACATTTGTAATTATTTTATTTGAATAAATATTTCTTATAAAGAAATTTAATTTGTTGAAATTTGATGAGATTAAAAACAATTATAAATAAAGAATAATGATATTAAAAATAAATAAATATATATGTATTAATAAAATATGCAATATAAGTATTATTAGATTTGTAAAAATAGCTATTATTAATAATTTACAAATAAAAAATATATATTAGAGTTAAATAAAATTATATTTATTTTTTTTATGTATTTGATGGTGAAACATATACAGGCAAAAAAATTGAACATTTTTAAAAATTTTGAAAATCATTTATTTAAGTGAAATTTCAAGAGTGGATTTGAAAACCTCAAATTTTCACTTAAAATTTAATAAATATTTTAAAATTCTCTTTTTTTATCCAAATAAATAAATTTATTTTAAAATTTTTAATAATTTTAATTGAAATAAAACTCTTACTTCAAATGTCGCATCCAATCACGTCGTAAGAGAAAGATCAAATTCAAAAAGCCGGCGGACGGTTTTGTTTGTTTTTTTTTAACAAACTCATTCCTGTCATGCATAATGAATGGAGACAGTGAGAGTGGCCGAACGGAAGATTGGTTACTCCAACAAATTCATTTTCTGTCTACCAAAAATAAATTCTAACAGGCCAACTAATAACCAACTATTACTGAGATAAAACGCCCATTAATGATTGGATTGTTCGAAAGATTTTTTTAATATAAATAAATAAAATTAAGAGTTTGAGAACAAAATTATAATTTTTTTTTAAATATATTAGAGTGAAAGTGATATTTGAGCAAATGTTTAAAAATGATTGGTGTAATTTATTCTTATTTTTTAATGTTCAAAAGTTTTTGGCAAGTGATGTGCAAAGGTGGATCCATGTGTTAATGTAAGTTGTTTATAGATATCTTTAAATTTAAAAAAAATAAAATAATTTAAAATAATGTTTTCTTAGATATATTTTACTCTAAAATGACATCGTCATTTTAGAGTAAAAGGAACTAGGATTTATGCATTTTACCATACCCGATTTGTAGTTTGTATGTCCAACTTACTTTCAACTCGTAGTTGAGTCGACTTCAAGTCAAACTAGAGCCGACCTCTAATCAATTTTCGAGCTATGAACTAGTTGACTTAAGTTGATCCAAGTTGCTGATTGAACAGTTAACAATTAACTAAGTTGTTAACAAGCTCATTTTTGGTATTTTTATTTTTATTTATTTAAAATAGGAAATTTTGAAAAAACCAAATTTTGAAAAATGAAAAGATAAAAGTTTATATATAAATTTTTTTTAAGACAAAATTTTGAAAAATGTTAGGGAAAAAAGGTAAAATATCAATTTTTTCTTAACATAAGTTATTAAAAAAATTAAGAAAACATTTGAAATATCAAATTTTCTTTAAGATAAATTTTTTAAATGATTAAAAAAAAGTTAAAATATCATTTTTTTCTTAAATTTTAAAAAATAAAGTTTTAAATCTTCCAATGATGAAATTACTACAATGTTGCAATTGCAATTTCTATTTAAATTTTTAAATGAAGAAATATTCTTAACTTTTTATCAAAATATTGGTGTAATTTAAGAACTTTCCAGTATCAAAGTTTTCCATTAAAATTGAAATTATGTAAAAGTTTTTAAATTTGATGATAAAGTCTCTTTAAGAGAGGTAATAATATTTTTGAATACTCTTGAGGTGAAAATATATTTTTAAATTTCTAAAAAAAAAATTTGGAGTAGTTTAAGAACAACTTCTACTATATAAATTATTTGAGAATTTTTTTTAAAAAAGTTGTTTTTTAGGCTTAATTGATAATACAATAAGTAGTTGATGCCATCATTTGAATGGGCACTGTAGTTAGTTTTATAATTTTCTTTGTACTTAACCATACTTTTGGACTTATCTTTATTTTATAGATTAAAATCTATTATTTTAAGAAATTTGAATCAAGCTTAGAATTTTTTTAAAAGTGAACAGATTCAATTATATGATCAATTACACTTAAATAAAAAAAATTAATAGTGACTAATTTACTTGTGTCTAGCAATCAAATTTACAAATTTATACATTATGATAATTATTATAAACAAACCTGTTTCAACATATTTAAAAAATTATAACTCTTTTGCAACATAACTATTAAGCTTATTCACTAAAAAATAAATATTTTTATTAATATATAATACACAACATTTTAAAATTACGAATAATTGTGTGAGATATCAAGTGAGGATTTGCCATAAAAGTACTTTTTGCAATTAGAAAGAGCAATTTTTATTTATTTTTTACTAATTGTTGAGAACTCTTGGAATATATTAACATATAAAATGGAAAAAGAACTTATATACAAAACCCATGAAATTAGGAACTTAATAGTCCGCACAATGTTGTAGTAACTAAAGGATTGGCACAATGTTGTACAAGTGATATACCAATGTGTTTTAAGTATTTGTTTGTACATGAACGAGTTTATTTCTTAATTCTTTTCATTCATGAGTTTAACAAATCGGGTATTTTTCACATAAAAAATAAGGTACTTTATATATTTGAAAATATTTATTTATATAATGAAATTTTAATGTAATTTGTATTTATTAGTGTTCAATAAATTTTAAACTTACTAAGAGATAGAGAGATGTTAATATTAGTTACTTTTTTTTTAATCTAAATTTTAATATAATAATTTAATTTTTTTATAATAATATAATAATAATATAATTTGTTTATGATATTGAAAATTTTTTAAAATATTAGGAGGTGAAAGTCAATTATTATTTAACTTTTAATTTTGAATAATATATTAAAAAATTAATTATGCAACGCACGGTTAAAAAACATAGTCTCATTGTGGGTCATATCAAGCTTAATTAATAAGCAATTAATGCGTGATTATGGCTGTTAACTAAAAATTAAAAATTAATTAAGTTGTTAGGTAATAGTTAGGTAATTATTAAATAAACTTAATTGGTCTCTAATACGTGTATTAGACTGTCAACAAAACTTAACGACCACATATACGAGTCAAAGAAGCCTCTCTATTTTTCTTTCTGATCTGCCTAAGTTAGCTGAGATTGACAATTAAACGTATGAAAACCCAAGATAGCGACTCTTTTCTGGCCATTTTTTTGAAAATTGTCATTTTGGACTCGCCCAACTTTGAATTTTTAAGGCTCTTTTTTTCTTCTCTGGCCAGCAAATTGAAAACTCAAATTTCCAAGAGAATATGATAAAAAGAGAAGATCTACTGTGTTTATTAAGAAATAAGAAATCACAATATATGTCCGTCTCCTAGCCTGAGTGGCAAAGGAAATGGGACATCAGGGCTCGGTTCGAGCCAACCCTCCTCCCATCCCCTACTCAAAAAAAGAAATCATAATGTATATGCAACCGTGCTTTGATCCACAGTTACATGCAATGTTGCTGATATAGGCCATAGTGACTCCACTGTGACTCGATTTCCTGATATATTCCTTAGAATATGGCTGGGAAATGATGCCTCTGCTTGCAACGTGTATTGCACATGCTTGATCAAGTTAGGAAACAATAGGGCCTGCGAGAAATCAACGGTCCAAGTTGTCCCATTGCTCCATACAGACCTCCTGGCAACTGTTGATTTAAGCTCCATTCCTCTCGCATTATTTCTATCAACAATAACTTGCTCGATTGTAGTGAATGGACTATTTGATTGATCCAGTTGAACTATTGGAACCCCCGTATAATCACCCGAAAACATATTGTCAACAATGTTCACACCAAATGCCACACCCACTATGGATTTGAGCAAAATAAAGGCATTGCCAAGGAAAAATGAGCCGGTAACATGGAGTTGCACAGGGTCTTCTGCTATAATTCCTGTGAAATCAAAGTACGAATTGGCGATTCGGGTCTGAGTAAAACCAGGAGCCTGGATATAAATTCCAGTGCCACCCCATCTAGTGGCCTTGTTGTAACAGTGTACCCCGGTGAGCATATTGGCCTGTCCCTGTATCATAATTCCAATTGATGCTGAGAAAACAACAACATCAGTGACTACATTATCGTTGCCCTTGATGAGGATTCCGACACCAGAAAAATCTTTTTCGCGATGATCACCTCCGATATTGATATGCTGACCGATGAATGTATTTTTTACAAAAGTCTCATGGCTACCTTGTATCAAAATGCCATTGGTTATAAAATGTGAGATGTAACAATTGTCTATGACGGTTCTTAAAGAATTAACTATGGCAATGCCACCACCCCTGAAATTGGAGTCTATCATAAGGTCCTTAAGTGTAATATCTTCGTATAAATATGAATCTGATGATGGCAAAAGCTCTATCAAGTGTCGATCAGTTGGAAAATCAGGTGATGCAGTGAGTGATCCACCCAGTATCTGTCAGAGTAATCGCAAAATTCATCAAGTGAGGAAGTTTTATCCATGAAATATATAAAGAGGGTAATGGAGATTGCTAATTGAGTACCATAAAGTTACCGCCGCTAGTCTTTGGTAGGCAAAGTGGACGACTGATCTTGTATGTCCCTCCATTAAGATGAAGCTGTGCGCCACCAAGGTCAGCCACACCCTGTATCAACTGGCCTTCAACTGGAGACCGAAAAGCATCCGAAATAGCTTGCTCAAGGGCATTAGTGCTGTCCAATTTTCCAGTAGGATCAGCTCCATACTCAATTGCATGATGAACCCTCGAACTTGCCAAAACCTGGAATATCATTAGCCAATTCGTATTAATTTCAAGAACGATAAAAGTGAGGCTCTCTTGTTTACTCTAATTACCGGAGCTGTAGAAAAGCTGTGAGGTGTGGGAGGGGCTCCGTTGCGGGAAATAAATGATGCCTTGATCGAAGCCATCCACCTTATCTTACGATGATAGTCACTTAATGCAGAATATGAGCTCTCCCCATAATCTAGAACTGTATTTACATATAGAAACGCCAGTATAAGCTTAGCTAACATTGTATTTTTGGATACCATAAGTTGTTAGAGACAAGAGGAAGAGAGAGCAATCTGTCAAATCAAATTCTAGTTGGAGCCACTGCTTTTGAAGCAATTTTGAACTTTCTTCAAGTTTGAAATTTAAATGCAGAAAGGGAAAAGCAAAATAAACTGTACACTAGGAACAATATTTCATGTTGAAAACCAAACCAATTTTTTGGGCTAAAAATAATTTCAAATTACCAATTCAAGAATGGAGAAATTGAAAGTGTTGGACTTTAAGACGGGAAAACACACAAAAAAAAAAAAAAAAGACTCAAGAGTTTCGTTAGCATAATTATGATTAATAATGTTTTATTTTTTCATGGAAAAGTGAAAATTTAGACATAAAGAAAGTGATTGTAGGTGTTGAAATTTAAATACCAAACTTACTAAATGTCATTTTTTAAATGTGATTATGTGAAAAAATTGAATTAAACTCCGATTTATTAATAATATTTTCGCTTCACTAAATCCATCATAATTGTAGACATCTTATTTTGTGTTAAGATTTTTTTTGAAAATTTATTGAACTTCAAATTTTGATAATAAATTGGGTCTTAATACAAAATTTAGGACCCAAAGACTAAAAGTCCAAAAAAGTGTTGATTTTGAATTAATTTTGATTTTGGTTTAAATTTTAATTAATTTTTAATTTGGGTTTTGGGTTTTACTTTCCATTTTAATTTTTTGGTGTAATTTTTGGTCAAAATTAGTCCGAGTCAAAAGAGTTAAAAAAAAAGAAACGAAAATCATTAGAAAACAGAAGAAAAATGTTTTTGTATGATTTATATTATTATTTATATGATATATTATTATTTGTACAATTATTAATATAGTTGTATGGTTATTAATATTTATTATTTTCATGATTACCTAACATTTTATTTGTATGATTTATATGATTAATAATATATTTGTATGATTAGTAATATACTTGCATGATTAATAATCTATTTGCATGGTAATTAATATTTGGCATGATACCTTATATTATTACATGATATTTTATATTATTGCATGATATTTTTGTATGGATATTTTGGTGTGATTTTTTATGTGATATTATATTTATTTGCATGCTAGCTTCTATTGTTGCATTATATATTTGCATGGTAATTAATATTTCTGCATAATTTATTGCATGGTATGATATTATATTTATTGCATGATACATGATAATTTTTGCATAATATTTTTTATTGTATGATTTATTGCATGGTTGATTTCATAATTATAGCATGATTAGATCTTGATAGAATTTTTTTATCACTATGTTGTGTAAATAAATAAAAGTATTGAAATTGATTTGTTTGTATTGTAAAAAATCATCTTTGATTAAGGCTTAGATAAGATAACACTAATTAATTTGGTATTAATTTTGGGCATAAAGGGGTGCTAATACCTTTTTTACATGAAACCGACTCTCGAAGACTCCTGAACCTTAGTTCTGTTGATATAGACTAAAACCTATTCTTTTTAGGGACCTTTAGTTTACACTTAGGACAACCTTAGAAATGATAAATTCACATAGGTGGCCAATAACACTTAGATAAAAAAAGATTGGTGGTGATTCCATGATTTTTGTGTCTAATGGGTAGGTTTTTAGGCCTAAACATTATGATAGCTTGGCGACTCCACTAAGGACATTAGAGAGTTAAGTCATTAGTTAGTTGTGTGTTATCTTAAGCCATGCTTTGATGGTTTTTATTTTGTGATTATTTGTGATTTTGTGCACTAACTTTTTTTGTTTATTTTGTAGCTTATGATTTTTTGTTACTAATTTATCTATTTATTTTGTAGATCTTGATTTGAATTTTTAAGTTGGCATGTCCTTTTTACACACACTACGTTTGTATTTATGCATAAGCTCTAGACCTGAGCTTTATCCTTTTAAGATAGGGTAAAATACCCATACTCTGTGGAATGTTAACCTCAAATATAGTTAGCAAAATACTCACTCAAATTGAACATTTTTCACTGGCAACCTGTTATGGGTGAGGATTATGGTGCATTATTAGTCTATCATGGATGATGATATAAAGAATAATTTGAAAACTTTTAGAGTGTCAGATTTTTAAACCTAACATGTAAATAAACCTTAAAGATCTAAACCTAAGTTAAAGCCCTACCCTTTCTTTTACTAGAAAACCCTAAATAGGACACATGATGGGATATTTATTATTTAGTTTGCAAATTTATAAATTGTTCCTTGTATATATTATGTGCATACTAACCCTATATATTATTCTTTGTACATAGTATGTTGTTTCATATATATAGAATGTTATGTTAACTAACCTTTTTTTTTTTTTACTTTATGTGCATACATGCATCATTAAAGTCATCATAAGGAATGACTGCCATAAAACTATTTCAATAAAAAGAAACTTAATTACATCCATGGAGAGCCTATAAAAGTTTCCTATTTGCTAGAGAATAAAGTTCGAGAAAGCTCAAATTAAAGAAGGTAACTGTTTGTTAGCCAATTATATGTCTACTTTATTAGTTAGAATCCATCTCAATCTCAAATGGAATGATCTTAGCGACTTGGTTAATATTTGAAACTAATGGGATGTCACTGTCAATGAGGCCTTCCAAAAGAAGTTTGGGGATCTTGCATTACTTCTCTCAATCTTTATTGATGATCAGCTCATTAGGGCCATGATTTAGTTTTGAAATCTTTCATATTGCTACTTTGTTTTTAATGAGATTGATATGGTGCCAACTATTGAAGAATATTCATCTCTCTTTTGCTTAGATCTCTCTAATCTTGACAAGGTATATTGAAAAAAAAAAGACTGGTTACTAGGAAAAGTTTGCTCAAATGGTGGTCGTAAATGTCCAAATTGTTGATGCTTGGATAAAAGGAAAAGGTGAAAGTGCTGGTATTCCCTGGTCCACTATTCATGACTTTATATACAAGTATTTTGACACTGAAATAAGAATGGATTTGATAGCATTGGCTTTATATGTGATGATGGTATTTTTAAAATTAATTGGGTATATTGATGTTGTAGTGGTGGATTTCTTTAATCAACTTGATTATCAAATCAACCTTGTTCTTACAATCTTGGTTGAGACTATTAGATGTTTGAATCATTATTGCTAAAATAGAGAAGGACATTTTACTAGATATGCTCAATTGCTAACTATTTAGATGAAAAGTCGTATTGAGAATAATTGCAAGCCATATTTCATTACAAGCACTCTTATCAAGGCATTCTGTAAGAGTGAATGGCCTGCACAAAAATCCAAAGAAACATGGATCTCTTTTATGTGTAAGCTCATTAGCCAAAAATGATATAGAGAGTCTTATGGATACCTTATGGACCGGTGCTATATGGTTGTAAAAAAAAGTTGTGGGATCCTCTTTTAGGCCTTTAGAGTATAATGAGTTATTCTTCCATTATGGTAAAAAGACAATATGGCTATGAACAATTTATTTCAACCACATTTGGACTTAGCAAGATGGAATTCTTATATGTTGAAGTTGATGCCTCTATGAAGATAGCCAAAGCCCTGCAAGCTTGAAATTTGTCTCAAAGGGAAAACAAGAGAAGACACTCAAATGAGATTATCTCTGAATACTTTGTGTAGCATATTAGGCAAGGTAAAAACATCACACTTCTTGGAGAAAAAAATTCCAAATAGCCTAATAAAATCACCATATTTTGATCCCCTATTGATAGTGAAAATTGCCAAAAAAAACCTTCAAGTTGAAAAAGGCTAAAAATAGAGCTAAAAGAAAAGAATGACGAAAAGATGCAAGCCCTCAGACAAGAATATGATGAATGGAAAAGTGCTTTTTGATCTCAACATAACACAGTCCTCTACCAATTATGAGTTGGCCCAATTTTTCAAAAAAAAAAAAAGAACAATTGTAAGCAAAGATGCAAGAAAAGGAAAAAAGCACTCATCGAGGCACAAAAACACATCCAAATGCTTAATGGGGTAGTGGTTGAAATTAGAACACAAATGGGTGTTGTGGATGAAGAATGTGAACAAGTAAATAAGGCATATGTGAGAAAGCATAACCAGTTGGAGTGTTTAGTTAGTCAAATTGCTATGGCTATTTACAAAGCCATGGGCATGGTAGAAAAAGTTGAAGAATGGAAGATAAGGATGCCACCAATGGTAGCATATGGCCAAAATCTGCTAGATTTCCTTAATAACGCGTAAGGCTAATATTGACAAATTAGGGATTTTTTTCTTCAATAAACTTTAGACTTTTTGTGGATGTAATATTATATTTGGTTAGAAATAACTTTTAATTTAATGAAGATTTTTTTTGTTAACAATTGTTATGTGTTTGTCATAATGCATCAGTTTGGAAATTCGATCACTAGATGTAAATATATAAAATCACGAAAACATAGGGAGTTGCCACCAATATTTTTTAGGGTGTAATTAGTCATCCAAAAATTTTATCTTTTTAACAAAACAATAAAACAGATTTAGAGTTTATAAAAAAGATACTTTTGGTCTACGAAAATAAGATTGCGTTTGGGAGTTAGTTACATGTGAGGAAAGATTAGCACCCCCACAATGCTCGTTTAAATTGATACTAATTAATCAGGTATTATGTTTGGTTTTGAATAAAAAAATAATTTTTAAAAAAAGAAAATCAATTAAAAATCTTTATTTAGGAATATTGTGAAAATCTTTAGATTAAAAAAATATCTTATAATTTTTTAACATCTAGATAGAATCAAAGATAATATTTCCTGTTTGAGATTTACCACAACATTCCTTTAAAAATAAAATAACAATTTTTGTAGATAATAATTATTGATGACTCTCAAACATCTAGGCAAAATACCAAGAATTATTTATTTTAGAATATTATTTTAATTTTATTTTTTTAAATCAAATTTTTTTAAAATTTTTTTATGCAGTAAAAATAGAAAATGCTATAATTAACCATAAACATCAATAATTAAAATATATATATATATATATATGCGTAATGAGTGCAAACATTGATTTAAAAATGAATA